TTATAGATTTTGTAATTTTTTAAAGTTTAAGTTACAATTATAATAACACAAAATTTAAGAAAAAAATATAATTGTCAAAAATATTTTATCTCTTTTTATGTAATACTTTTATATAAGTAATAATTTGAATAGAATTGTTCAAAATCATGTGCTAAAATAATAATTATATAATTTTATACAATTAAAATTTTAAATATAAGCAAAATATACATATATTTATATATTTACGGATCGGATCGGATATCTGCTTTCCAAAATTTTAATATTTGTGATTTGCTTCGATTTTAACGGATATTGAATTTTAGTATTTGCTTTGATTCGAAAGTTTACGGATATCCGGAATTTTCGGATCGAATCGAAACGAATAACGGATCGAATCAAATATAACGGATAAAATGCCCAGCCCTACTGCAGGATCGATAAACCCAATAACCCATTAAGTAATCTATATTTAGTAAATATCTGTTAATTAAAAATCCGATAAAAAATTTAAGGGAAATTGTTAAAACTATCACATTCATAATACACTATTTCACTTTTACATTAATTACTAGGGCCAGTCCGCCCTGCGGGCAGAATGATAATTTGAAAATAATTTAAATAGTTAGACTAAATATTTTTGATTTTTGTTTAAAAAAATTGTTTTTATTTAAAAATATTTTGTTCTATATTAGTATGAATCATCATATTATTGATTATTATTCTTTATTTAGTTTCATGCTCATTACAATTAATAACTAAATTTTTCCTTATGATTAATAAATATTTTTATTTGAAGTTTTAATCAGTTTTATTGTAATGGTGTCGAATTGTTGGTTTATGCGTTTAATTTGAAGTTATCTAGAGAAATTAGTTGTTTTGTATGAAAAATTATGTCACGATAATATTACAATGTTTTACTTAAAAATTAACTATTCAGAAATCTGTAGAAAAACTTGTGTAAATTCAAACACAAACTTTATTTTATTTTAACATATTTTTAGATTATCATTTATATAATTCTGATCAATACTTAAAAAATGCTTATAATATGTTTTGCATATTGGTTTGTATTTTATGTTTACTAACTCGTATATCAAGCTATGTGACTGATGTTTTTGCTATATAAAATAAAGTTTGAGAATTATAAATTTATTATGATACTATTTTTTAAAATATCATAAACGAATCTAAAGAAGTATCACATACATTAATAAAATATATTTCACTTCTTTAAGTTACAACTCCAAAACGTTAGTAACTTGAACCCCCAGATTTTATTCCGAATATTTTATCAGGTTTGATTTTCTGTTAACAGGATTTTTCTGATATTATTTTATTAACATCTATCATAGTAGTTTATTTTTTTTCTTTTTTTTATCATCTTACTCTTTCAATATCCTAAGAAAGTTCTAAATTAATGTTGGAGTTAAAAAAAAACTAAAAAAAATTTGTTAAAAGAAAATATTATGTAACTTTTTAATATTTTTATTAGTATTTGTTTTTTTTTATATTCTAAATTAACCGTTATAGTTGCTAACTGTGGAAAAGCTCTTGTTCTATTTATTTGATCAGTAGTACTTAGCTTTATGATATATTAGAGCCGGTCCGCGCTACGCGTAGATTATATGTTTTAATTTGTTAACTAATTATTTTATGTTTTTTCATTATATATATATAATTTATTTTATTGCTTATAATACTTTTATAATAATAATAATAAGTATAGCTAATTTATATTTTCATTGTTTAAGTAAAATTAAATTGTACTTTATTTAAAAAGTTCATACAAATAGTTAAAATAACTTACGTAAAAAATTTGTATAAGTCAAATGCACAAAATTCTATGAAAGTTACTACTATTTAATATATTAATTTTAATTATAAAACAAAACAATATCTTATACAACCAAACCTTAATATATTATTCAGTGTAAAAAGATAATAAAGATATGCTCAATAGATATTCACAATTTATTTTACTTTTAGCATTAAATAATTTAGTTTTACAAATTATAAATTTTTGTAATGTTTTTATACTTTTTCTTAATTATAGGTAACAATATTAAGGATTTATGCATTTGTTCAATGGTTTATGGGAATTTATAATATATTTCCAGTCCAAAATTATGATCGCAAACCATTATTTTCATATTTTTCATTTTTAGTAAATTTGTTTACTGTTTTGTATTAATATCACTTTCCAATTTGATATAGCATCATTGATATTTATATCCGTTTTAGTTCTTTCTGTCATTTTGGCATTTCAATAAAGAATATACTAGATTTCGACCCACACAACCGTGGGTATTTTAATACGGAAATATTTGAAATTATATAATAAAATTTATCAATAAATAAGTATAATTTGATTATTTATGCTATCCAATTTATAATCATTTTTATGTGACTTATAATATTATTAATATAAATTTATAAATTTGTATTTTTGTAATAATTTAATTATTATGTAAGATTACTAATTTATATATTTTGTTTTATTTCTAAATTTGAAATCTATGTAAAAGTTAATTAATTGGACCTACATAATGGGAGAATTTCAATTATACCACTTTGGTGGTACCACTTTTCATGTTTACCATCAACAAATGAACATTTTCAAAAATACACATTTTATTAAAAGATAAAAGACTCTTATATTCTTGTTCTTTATATATATACATAAAATAATTATTAAATAAAATATTAACCCTAAACCCTAAAACATCAATTCTAAACTCTAGATCCTAAAAAGTAAACCCTAAACCCTAAAATCAACCCTAAACACTAAAATATCAATTCTAAACCTTAAACCCTAAACTCTAAACCCTAAAAAGTAAACCCTAAACCCTAAAAAAGCAACACTAACCCCTAAACTATCAATCCTAAACCCAAAACCCAAAATCCTAAATTCTAATAATATTTTGAGTATTAAAATTTTAATGGTAAATTTGGTTAGTGTAAAGTTGAAAAGTGGTATCTTGAAAGTGTTATTTCTTGCAATTTCCCCTACATAATACATAAACAAAATTTTGGGATATTGTTAAAAGTATTTTACATAATTTCAATTTTTTGTTTATAAATTAAAATTAAAATTTGAATTAAAATTTTAATTATATTTTATGATGATTAAAATTTTAATCTAATAATTTTTGAAGTTATATCTTGAAAAATATTCTAAAAGATTTTGTTAGAATCTTAAAACTATTTATTTGTATTTCAAACAAAAAATTAAAGATATGAAAAGATATTATAATATTATGTAAAATTTTATAAAACTCTAAAGATAGTCCAAACTAAAATATCACACATGAAGTGAGTCATGACTTCTCTTTTAATATAATAGATTTAGAAAATATTATTATTTCACTGCTGTTTTTGCATCACTATTTTGGATTTGTTTTTTTTAAATATAGGCATAATTTGAATACATATATATTAACCTTGATATGTTGCATATTTACTTGGTTTAATCTTGCATTCTTGTTCATGTTGAGCATATAGATTAGATTTAGGCATTCTTAGGTTGCATTTTGCATTCATTTGTCTTTATCAGGTGGTGGAACATGCTATGGAGTTCTTGGAGGTGTTTGGGATCAATTATGTGCCAAAAAAGAGTGTAAAGATGTCATTTGGCGAGCCAGAG